AGGCCAATGGCATGCGGGAGTACGAACTCACAGCAAGATGGGACATCGTTGGAGACTGGTGGAGGATCCCTCGATGATGTCTGCACGGCGGAGGAAAGAAGCAGGATTGGAACCTCTTGAGCACTCCGTTGCTAGTCGGAATGGTAATGTGTTACATGATAATCCGCAAAGTGAAGTTTCCAGTCATGTTTCAGAGTGCCATGAAACTGGCTACTCCCATTTCCAGGGTTTCTCGGGGGAGAGGGGGGCATGCAAGAAATCTCTTGTAGCCCTCGCTCGCTGAACGCAGGAGCTCGCGCGCAGCCTGTGTTGGACCAAAAAGAAGGCCGGGCCCGCAGGGTTGTCTACTTGTAGCTCCGCAGTAGCCGAGCCATTACACGACTTCCTGCGACACCTGGTTTGGTTCTTCACCTACTTCTTGGGCACGATCGTTACCAGCTACCCCACTTTCAAACCCTATGTGGTAGGTTGTCAACATCATGGTCACAAGAACCACTACAACCTGTATCCCCTTCTCAAGGTGCCCCTTACAACAAAATGTACCCAAACTGGGAGCATAGTTTTGACAACCCCCTCCCATGTTGAAAGGGCCGTGCCGTCTTCCATCTCGACCCATACATCTGGTTGCATGTCATTGGGACCACAAAGTCACCTCACCGCTACTGAGATTAGGGATGTGGCTGCTGGGATTCAGGGTTTCGGGGTGCCAAACCAAAGAGGGTGCTGCTTATTACTGATTGGGTGAATGAATTCCGCACTCCTAAGAAAACTGCGCCGTGTCGACTGTATTCAAGGCATCTGAATACCAGACCTAGACGTGATTATGGTGCCGATCCCGGAATTTGCACAGCAACGCAAGTTCGCAGAAAGAGCTATGTAGCTGGTCCTTTTTTTTGTGTACCTTGCTGAGTTCCTCAACTCCCCCAGAAAGACTCGGACAGTTCAGCTGAGGCGTTTGCGAGTTGCTCTGGCCACGGCCCTCTCCGTGGCTGAGGACAATCTGGACATCACTGCTTTCACCGACCACTGTGTACACTTTCATGAATATCAACTTGACGGCCTGAATTCTCTTGTACCTGTTCAGTCGTCGTGATCCACCCTCGTCCATTGCAACCCATAGCTGATTGAACTTGAGAAGCTTGTCCAAATGCTTTCCAAGTGGTAACAAGCTCTATGGCGTTGTTAGAATCGCCCCTAGGCTCTGTTGAAAAATCATCCAGGCCTCTTCTCAGTGGCCTGGCGTCCTGCATGAAACTCTGCGGACAGTTGGTGAGCTGAAAGCCTGAATCCCAGAGATGAGCACTAGCATTGTTTTCCAAGAGGTTCAAGCGGCAGAGCAATGACCACTACCCAAGTCGAATGATGCGGTGTCAGGTTTTCCAAGCTGCTGCTTCTTTGTGCTCTGGTCCTGCTGCCACAAGCGCACTCTCTTGAAAGTCGAAAGTGACCGTGCCGAGGACCTCAGGCGAGGATAGCTGCCACGAAGGAGGGTTGTCTGCTGTTGATAGAACTTGCTCAGGAACCATGCAATACTACTACCAATTCCACCCAAAACAGGGGCTACCATTTAAGAAGCTCCCCTACGGGAACAGGTCTGGTTCGTGTGACTTGCAGCCAAGCTGCTCTGGCAGCCTCTCGAACGCCCTCATCTGTAAGCATGCCTTTCTGCAGGGATCTATGGCTGCGCTCCACACTGCAAGTAAAATTCCGACGAAGGCCCTGGACTGCTCTCAGAGGAACGGGCAGGGCGAGGTCAAAGATCGACCCAACTCCGGTGCTCCTGCCGGATCCATATCAGCACACAACATGCTTCCAACAATTGTCAAAGGAAGTTTGGAAAAAAAGAAGCCTACCCTGGCTGCTCCTGGTCTAGGAGGAGGGGGCGCTAGGTCTTTCGCGGACTTCTTCGAAGCTTTCCTGAGAAGCTGCGCACTGGCCGACGAGGATGTCCGGATATGTCTACCAGTAAGGGATTATACAAGAATAGCAGCGGATATCAAACAGGCTTCTGCGAGATTTCAGTAAGGAATATACGGACATAATGCTTGGGCACAACAGATTGGTTACGATTTTCTGACTTGAGCAATACACGAGGGGATCCCTGTTGAGTCGACGTCCCAGCCCCAATGCTAACCACAATGACCAATGTGACCCGATCACTCATTCGGTAGCTCTGGGGCTAGCACTTGAAGACCCAATCCCACTCACCTGTCAACAGCTTCCCGACGCAACGCCTTTTATGCAGTCCCAATGGAGCCTTCTAGAGTGGCCCTCAGAGAGGGTTCCCCATCAGAGGCTCTCACAACATGGCAAAGCTCTCTTTTCCTTCGTCCTCCGCATGTCGCCGAGTATGCCATGTTGACATTCCGTGCTTCCGTGCACTCTTTGGGGCACGCAGAGCGGGCGGACGGGATTCGTCACGCCTGGCAGGGGGGCTGAGGCAAAGGGCACAGTCACAGTAATGCGTTGGACTTCCAAGAAGTAAGGGTATGCCACTACAGTAAGCTTTCTTGCGTCAAGATCACCGGAAAACTACACCACTTGATCAGGAAGGACTCAGCTCCTGCATAAGCACAGAATCTGCGATGTACGATGTAAAGACAGGCCTTCCGGTCCCGAGGAGCATTGAAGTCCTCCAGCTGTTGGAAGGCCTGCCCGTGCTCTAAACATATGTAGAGGTGGATGAGTTCAATGACTTGCGATCAACAAGGCCCCGTTGCCTCTTTCAAGCCTTGAAGCAAATCACCCACTGCCTGAACCCTGCGCAAAATGAGGATTGGGGTGGATATCAGAGCTAATCTCGTAAAATGGGTTGGGGGCACATATTTCGACTGATCAGACCGCACCCTAGCTGACCTGCAACCCAGCCATTCCAATTGACACGAACGAGGACTTGCTGATTGCTTGAAAAATCCAAGTCTTTTGGCTTCGATCCCAACCTCTGAACCCCAAGCCCCCAAACTCTATGAAGGAATGTACATAAATTCGAATAAGGGAAAACCTAAATATACTGAATGAGAACCGGGTTTATGCTCTAAGGTGCCTTCTGCTCACCCAAGACGCGGTGGATGGCCGGAGGGTACCGGCCCTGACAGTGCCAGCTGCCTGGGCAAGGCAATTAATCCCACCATGTTCCTGAAACAAATGTTCCTGAAACAAACATCATCCTCGCAGGTCCTCTCAAGAACATCCTGCACATATCTAATTCTTGTAGGATGTTATCTTACAATCTAGGGAGTCTGAATCTATGCTGAAGATCTGCTCCCTCGATTGGCCGGAAGATGTCTTCTTCCCGAGTCGCGCCTGGAGCATCGCAGTTCCAGTTTCGTGGGTCCGCCACCCACTCCTTGGATTCCTCTGACACGTTCAGAACCTTCACAAGAGACAATCTGTAACCACTGCGAGGAAAACGCGGCTCGAAAAAAAGAGGCCTTGAAGATGCGTACCAGCCCAAGCTTGCTGGTGTAGGCTTCCTCAAAGAGCTCTGGGTCCACCTTCGCAGCACTTCCAAAGCCAATTCCCCCAAATTGCGCTACAAAGAGCCTGGACGTCGTCGACCACACCATGGCCATGCCTTCAGCAAGCTCCCCTTCCCTCTCACTTTTGCCCAGGTCCAGGCCACTGGCATCTTCCAAATCAAAGACCGGCTCATGGTCTCCTCAAGAGATTCGGACTTCTGAAAACTCACTACAAGACTTGGCCGCAACGCCGACATGGACTTGGGTAAACGAAGTAAAGGGACGGCAGGAGCTGCCAAGAAAGCCAGAACGAAACGGTACGAGCTCATGTGACTTGAGATGTTCACCGGAAACCCCCCCGGTGGCCGATGCGGTGCTGCCAAGTCTCAGTGGGCTCCTTGGTTGTCCGGTTCAGTCGGAAGGCGGTGCACATGGAGTCGCCCGGGCAGACATTGTGGTATACCTGGTGTGACAAAGCAAAATAAAGCAAACCAAAAGTCACACTGCTGAGGGCGGCGTTCAGTGTGATACTGGTACTGGGACTGGTGACAAAGATTGTGCAAAGCATAGTGCTCCCAGCTTGGACGAGCAGCAGAGTTTGCGATCCGTGCCATGTGTGGCGACTTCGCAACGTCGTCTCCACCTTTCCCGAGAAGTAGCAGCAGGCAGACATCCGTGCGACGCTTATTTCTGTGAAACCCAGTGCCTGCCCATATGAGCACGTAGTCTGCCAGGTGACGAATTACCTGGTGCAGCACAAGAAGCACCCCAGTCAAACATAAACGCAAATATCTCCTGGACGCAGGCAACAGTGACAGAATTGACGGATCCTTCGCACTTGCCTGAAATGTACACTTCTACCCCTACCTCGTGGGAGTCCTTCTCGGGACCTGCCAGGATCAGCCAGCTTGAATAAAAGAACGCACGTAAGAAAATGGACATCACTAGTCACAACGGTCACGTTTGTGATGTCCCTCCAAGCCTGTGAGACAACGCCCCAGCAGCGCGATATGCTCGTGGTTCCAGGTGTTCCCATCCGCCAGCGTGGTCCCTTGCATGCTAGCATCTGCTAGGCTCAAAGAGAAACTTGAGATGGGTCTAATGTCCAAATTCGGTGGGCCTGTTTGGGGGGATTTGAAGGATAAGGAACCTGCTTTGTTGGAGGACTCTCATTTAGATCCACAGTCAAGACTTTGGCTCCGGGCGGTTGGCCAAGCCATTGATCTGGTAGCCGTAGTCCCACCAAGCCAAGACTCGGGCGTCCTGCCTCGGAACTCTCAACAGATTCTTGCCGACAAGGGCCAGGAAACCTGCGAGGAGGAGTATTGCTTCAAGTAGAAGTCGCACGAATTATGTATTGCATCATGACTTCTTCTTCTTCTTCCAGTTCGACTTCTTCTACAACTACGACTATGACCACCACTATCCTTTCCTTTACAACTACCACCATGACGAGTGCTGCTGCTTCTACTACTGCTGCTGCTGCTCCTCCTATCGGTGGCTCGGTGCTATCAAGAAATCTGCCAGGAAGCGGGGTCTGGTCACGCAGCCACCAGTATGCCTTGAGTTCTGCAGGCTGAAGGCAAGGGCCGGTAATTTGCAAAATAGAAGTAACGCATGTGATTGGCGTACATGCGCGTAGCGTTGTTAGAACCATCTAGCTGACTATCCTGAAGAGTTTGTATTATTGATGCTGTAGGCAGGTTTGGCGTTGTGAGTTTTGGCCTCCCGGTAGTCGTCCACCAGAAGCTCCTTGGCGGGAGTTTGTCAGGTACATCCTTGAGTACATAGAACCGGAGAAATGCAAAGCTGCAAAACGGGGTCTAGGGTCAGAAGGAGGATGGAAAGAGCGAAAGATTGGGAGTATTAGGAGTGCACGACCGCAATCCTCGTTGTCCACGCGCCGCTTTTTGATGATGGACGGCTGCGACCTTGCGATGAGCATACGGTGGCTTAGCTTGTGACCGCCTGTCACAATCTGGGGGTGGAGTACTCATCAACATTCTCCCGACATTCACATCCTCCCTATGACAGGCAGATAAGTTGTACCCCATAAACCTGCTCTTATAACCCAAACATCGTGACATATCTTGACATCAGCCCATTCGGGCACACATCTCATCTCAGCACTGAAGCCCCCACAGGCGATCAGCGACAGCCCAGCAATAGTTCACGAACTCCAGGCCACAGATCAGGAGCATCAGTAGCACGATACCAGCGGTTGCCTCTGCAGTCACGAACCACTGCAGGAAACTGCACATAGAGAGTATAACAACCGAAGCAACACTGACACCAGCAAGAACCATCATCACCTCAGCCACACCACCAGAATAGCTGTGATCAGATGATGCCCCAGCAAGAAGAAACTCAAAACACCAACGATTCCGATCGCAAGAATAAATCATCATGGTGCTGCGGCTTCAGCGCTCACAGCGACTTCCCCGCCTTTCGTTGCAAGCTCGCCTCCTCGTAGGCCTCTGCAACAGCTAGGTGCAGAAACCGTTTGCTTCCGCATGACCTTACTCCAAACCACGATGACTCCTGAATTCATAGGGTCATTCCAAGATGATGTCCAAGAACAGGAATCCCTCCCTGCCTGGCTCAGCGGACGCTTCAGCTCTTCCAGCAGCTCTCTCCAGCTGCCTTCGTCGCTGGCTTCAGCGGTGCCCTTGTCCTTGTCCTTTTCCTGCTCTTCCGTGACCCCTTCTTCCCCAGCGGGGACCTGCATGGCAAAGTCTGAGCCCAGAAGCCCCCTTACGAATTCCGGGATAAAGAAGTAGACACCACATCCTCCTCACAAGAGAAAATACTGCCACTTCATTGAGAATCTTAAGAAGCAATCCTTTTCGAAGCATTTCGCCTCGATCCCAAGCTGCCGTAGCGCCCACCGCAGGGCCCAGGCCACGCCCACGCCCCCTTCAAACATCCGAGAGTCTGCAGTGTGGGCTCTGCTTCGGAGGTCTTCAAAGCTGCAGATATGCCAATCAAGTCATATTGGGAAGAGTAGTTTTCCATTATCCCCATATAACCACAATATACTAAAGTAGATACAAGGAAAGCATGTGCCCAAAGGGCCGACCTAAAGCGGCAGCGACCGGCCCAAGGAGCAGCACCAGCCTCTCATGTAGGGCTCTCTCAAACTCTTTGCAAACCGAGTTGAGGATCCCACCGATTCATTTTTGAAGAGAAGTAATAGGTGACAGCCTTGGCTACATCTCCATGCGGCTCTCTTTTCCCAGCTGCAGGAAAACTTAGCTCACAGCCCCGTAAATCAGCAGAAAGCCCTGCAGCAGAAGCGCCAAGGACTCTTGCTTCGCAACACTTCAACAATGAAGCTGGTTGGAAGATGCTAAGCTTACAAGAGCAAAAGGGCAGCAGCAAAAGCAGACCTTCGCGTCGCTGGGACTTGTGAGGCAAACAAGAAAGCCCAAAGGGGCCATGGTGCACATATGGTGCAGGAACCTCAGCTGCCCAGAACAGAAGCCAAACAACCCCTCAGTAGCTGGCAGTGCTCACCGAGTCCAAGGCTGCCAATATGCTCGCGGGCTCGTTGCCTCTCAGCTTCTACCGGTACGGCGTCTCTCCCTCTGGGCTCTGCAAGTGTGCCTGGTGCTCTGCAACCGAATCCACCAGCGGGTTCCCTGTGCCTCAAAACAGCACAGCAGCAGTACCTCTCCCCTCAACAAGCCTGGTGGATTCCCACCCACATAACCTGAAGCCTGGGCGGTGCTTGACGAAGAGACCCCGCACCCGGCTGGAGACCGGTGCAACGTAGCCGAGCTTCAAGAGGACTCGGAAGGGACGCAACAAGCTTTGGATACCAGGACCTTAAAGGGATGGAGACGGCAAGGATATGATATGACGACATCTCGTTGGTGTCATTAGGTTTGGGTATAGCGCTGCACAAGGATTGATTTCAAAAAAGGTGTTGCAAAGAGCTTCTCCGTACTGATACGGCTCCAATCTCAAGAGTCCTTGCACATGCATTTGATATTCTTGGGTAGACAAAACGGATCCTTTGTCATGAATGAGAATGGAGGGCCAACTTGCATCTTCCCACAACATGAAGATCCGTTCATGCAAACCCAAGGCAAGGATCCCGCAAAACCTCTTTTTCCCCTCATCTCTCAGCCTGATGCAAGCAGCACCGCCGCCGCACCGAAACCGAACAGGACCTGTCATGAAAGCCAGACGTCAGATCTACAAGCGAGGTACCTAGGTTGAGGGATCTGCTTGCAAGAATCCCGTCAACGATCTAGGATTGGCAAAACTTTCTGGATCAGAAAACACGAAGACCTGCCTGGTAGCGCCAATGCCGGAAGTCCTGGAGGTAAGGCCGCACAACATGCAACTGCTTAGTGTAGTGGCAGGTTGATCACACACATGCATACATGCGTACCTGCGTATGCAGGAACACACGCGCCACGGATGTGTGTGTGTAAAAACATGCACATCATGAAAAAAGAGCCGTGCAGACGTGTATGGACCACTCGTATGAAGTTTCAAGTTGTCGCTGATCATAGCAGGATGCCTCATCACGCAGCTTGCGTCTCCTGCAGCTTTGAAATCTGACGCCATGCTGATACAAAAGAATGACTTCCAGAGGGCCCGAGGAACATCTGGATGCATTTAACGCGCATACAACCCTGATAGCGTAGAGACAGCCACGACATCCGAGCATCCAAATTTCTCGAAGCTGAAAGGGGTGCTGTGGTGCTCCTCTGCCAGGCGGAAAGGCCTTCCAGAACCTCTCCACGGTCCCCCCAGAACAACCACATGGGCATTTCTCAAAACAGCAGTACCCTGATATTGCGACCAACGATTATGATTAAGTTTAAGGAGCTCAAACAGAATTGAGAGACACCCATGCATTTCACACTTGCAAAGAAAAGAAGTATTCGAGCTTCAGATATGTACTTCGAGCATATACATTTAAAAACAAGAGAAACGTCAAGATGTGCCGTGCATCTTATTCGTTGCATCTTGTTTCCACGCACAGTCTGGCTGGACAGAGGCAACAGGGAGAAAGGAAACCCACCAGTGAGTATCATGTCTGCACTTGCATGGCTATCTTTCAACATAACAATCTCTCGAACAAATTCAAGAAAATGCCCTTCATCCCACGCATGCGTGGATCACCTTGATGCCCGTGTGATGCATCATCATGCACAGCCATTTATGTGGCCAAGCCCTGAATGAGTTCTGTGAACGAAAGCTCGGATTCAACGGCCATGTGCATGTAAAAGCTGCGTCAAGTGATCAGTTCTCCAAAGCAATACGATGGTCCTTTAGCATGCCAGCCGCTCTGAAGAGATCCTACTTTCCTTTCATGATCATGAGCATTTGACGCTACAGCACAGCTGTCACTTTTTTTCTCATCTGGGGTCGCATCTCATGCTCCGTGGCCCCGTATCTCCCCATGTTAGGTCATGGAGCGGCGCTCAAAAGCTGATGCGGGATACCCTTAGGACAAATCAGAAAATCGAGTAGTGAGGCATCAGGCTCAAGGTTGCCCAGGGATTGCCCTCCGATGGCACAGGCTGCCTTTTGAGGCTCTCCTCGAGACGACCAGTCAGATACGTTGCTGTCTGAGGGAACCCGTTCCACCCAGGTGCACGAAGGCTGGTAAGACTCTGGAAGGTAGAAAGCTTGAGCCAGCGCCAACATTGAGCCTGAGGAAGACGTGGCTTTGATCAATGACCATCTTGAGGCGTCATTGTCAATGAAGAAAATGCTATACCGTTGATGTAGCAGCTCGCAGTACGCGTGGCGAACTAAAACAGCGGCATAAGATTCAACTTGACAAATGACCTGTTCTTTGCCCTGGCTCCTCCAAGAACGCAACAGGTTCGGAGGCACCTCGCCATGGTGTACGACCGAGGTCCCCGTATGTTCGTCAAGGATGACGGCTCCCCAAGTTGCTTTGCCATCCTCATAAGCGCCATCAGTGAAAATTAAGACTGGGGTCTTAATTTTCATGGGGCCTAGTGTCTTGGGTTGGATGGCATCTAGGGAGGAAAGGGTGAAGGACCTAAGCTTTTCTAGAACCTCAAGGCCGGGGTCCTCAAACAGGGTGGCAAAGGCACGGCAAGGAAGCTTAAGCCGATGACCCATAGAAGCCCCGTTCATGAAGTTAAGGACTCCGTGCACTGAACGAGCAATATGTCTGGCAGTGCCACGCCCTGAGACCATTTCCTCCAACTGCTCGGCAGGCGGGCCCTCCGACTGGCTTTATTGCACAGGGAGAAACTACCTAGGTGCAACGAGGACAAGTCAAGCTGGGCGCCAAGCAGACTGAAGCTGGAGGCAAAGTCTTTGCCCTTCTCAGCATCATTGGCGAAAAGCCATCCCAGTGAGGAAAGCAGGGCCTCTGCGGAGCGCGAAGCAATACCCGTTGTGAGCTCGGGCTCCAGGTAGGGGAAGTCATCAAATAGGAACCGCTAACAAGCTTTAGTAGGTGTCGCTTTAGGTGCAGCAGTGACCTACTAATCCTGTTAAAGGAGAACACCGACGAAGTGCACCCGAAGGGCAAGGTAAAGTAGGCCGGAGATCCATCGGATGGATCATGCACAAGCAGCACACCCAATTGCAGAGAACTTTGGGATATGGGCACTTGTTTGTACGCCTTTTTCAAATCTAGGCAACGCCCCTTCCAAACAGGTCTGTTGAGGAACGATTGGTGGATCTCATGGGATGTAATCGAACCATCCTCCCACGTGTGCTGGAAAGAGGGCCCCTGTGAATGCAACGAGGCAATGAAGGAGCATACGTCACAAAGGTAGTCAAGATCATGTAGCACCAGCATTTCAAGCGATGTGTGCGCAAGATTTATGGCGCTTTCTTTGGCATCGTCGATGACCCTGGGCTTGGGCAAGCCCGTGTCTGGGTCGATACCCTGCATGATGACAAATCGCCTTGTAACGCAAATCTGGTCTTCAGAACAGCCCGTTGCTGACGCAGCAGAAGAGAGGGAATCAAAAGGGCCATCTATGAACCCTTTATCCCTCTCTCTCAGAGTCTCATCCCACAAAGCCTGCCTGACTGAAGGGTCTTCGCTATGCTGGGGCTTTGCAATCAGGACTCGGTTGCGCCAACGAGCGGCTTCCACAAGTTCGGCATGGGATGTTTGGGCATGCTTAACCTTCTCAGGGTAAAGAGGGCTCTTTGTTGGGAGGCCAGTCAAGTCAGTGCCAAGCATTAGATCCCACACATTTTTGTCCGGGAAATTGGTCATGTCCAAGAGTTTCTTCCAAAGCAACAAGGACTTATTTCCCAAGACGCGTTGGGCATGAGGCGGCAATGTCAACTTGAAGCGGGCTTCCTCGGCTGAAAGCTCAGACTTCAACTTGGTGACCATGTTGACGGCTTTTAATCTGAGCTTGGCCACTTCAAAGGGGCCCATTGTCAAGTTGTTGATCACAACGCTGGCCAACTCCAACTCATCCTCAATGGGAGCTGAGGCTTTGGGATGCAAGACTTGGCGGGCTTCACGAAAGGAACTCCTCAGGAGACCTAAAAACCCCAACCCTAAAGGAAGAACCCTCCCCGGATTTCCCCAGGTTCTAAAACCTTATGGGCAGGCAGGGACTTGAGGTCACGGGTGCAAAGGATGTGCTTGTACTCGGATACAAGAGGGCGGCGCCGAGAAGTTTGGCGATTGTGTGGGAGGGCCTTTGATATGCTTGCTTCGGTTGGCGGAGAGCCGGGCAAGCCACACAAGGGCATAAGGTTTCTGCTAAACTTTTCCGTCTGTAACACACGCCTGCGGATTCAACTTCAGTCACCGTATTGGGCTCCAACAAAATCTATACAAGGTGGCACATGCATCCAAAGACAACTCAGGAGAAAACAGGTTTCATGGGTAGCACCAGTG